ATAGTGCAGAATGGTATTTCGGCACGGCAAGACGACCTCGATGACGAAGATTTCGATTATGTATAGCAGTTCGAGTTCAAACAGACTGGACTTTCATAATGTACGAACTTCATCAAAAAAACTGCAAAATGCAATTTAAAAGTGTTTGACATAGGTATTTAACCATTTTAATTCTTTTATTTTGGATGATATGTGATCGTATTTTCTCAAACCAAAAATAAATTGGCAGCATGTATTTTGCATGACCTGTAAACGATGTTTAGTTAACAAATCTAAAAATGGGTAGTAAACAATATTGCAGTAGTAATATATCGGCAAGATCAATGTCTCACACAACTTTTTTCTCATCTGATAGTTTAAAATTTGATGATATAGCTTCTCTGCAGTAGTTTGCCTATGTGTTCCCTAAACCTTAAACATATATCCAAGTGAAGACCTAAATTTTTTGCGCAAATCGAAAAACCCAAATTTACATCACCCATTTTTAATTTAAGTCGATTTTCGAGCATTTGGCGACGTCTTTGCGAACAAAACAGAAGAACCTGCGTCTTGTCCGGATTTACTTTTAAGTTATGTTCTCTTGAGTAATCCAAAATTGACTGGAGGTCCTCATTTATAGCTACAGCTGCATCATTAGGTTTATCTGGATCAAAAACATTGCAGCAATTATGTATCGTCCGTCTATGACTAAACATGTGAGCCAGCTGTCACGTGGAATATATCAAAAGTATATAATATGACAAATAAGAGGGGTCCAAGTATGGACCCTTGAGGGACGCCAGACACAATGCTACTTGTCGAAGAAAGCCTACCACCAATGCGAACCATCTGCTCCCTGCCAGTGAGATACGTCTGAAAAAAAGAAACAGAACGCTCATCAAAACCAAGATACCTTAATTTTGCACAAAGCAATTTATGGTCCAGCACATCGAAAGCCTTAGAGTAATCAAGCGAAATAGAGATAACTGCCATATTTTTATCTAAAGCCCTGCAGATATTGTCAGTCAAATTTAGCAAAGCTGTTGCTGTGCTGTGACCACTCCTGAAACCTGACTGGTGAGCAGGAAGCAGGTTATTTTCCTTTAGATAATCAGAAACTTGAGAATGGACAACCTTCTCTAATACCTTAGATATCGCAGGCAGGAGACTTATCGGTCGGAATTCATTCGGCATTGTCGGGTTTGTAATCTTTGGAACCGGAACAACCACAGATCGTTTCCAACAGTCCGGAAAATACCCGCGCTCTATACAACTATTTATCACATGGGTTAAGGAGTTGACTGTAGCAGGCAGACTAAATTTAATCACATACAATGTCAAAGCATCATATCCAGCCGCGTACGATTTTATTCCATACACACTTTTCCAGACTGTCTCAGTGCTGGCCATGGAAAAGTTGAAATTTGTGTCCCTAAACCTGTTATCATTATAATGCCTAATTTTATTTTCACAAAGATTGGTTTTTTGAAACACGCTCATGAAATAATCGTTTACTTCATCTGGATCCATCAATTCTGAGTTAGCATGGCAATTAGATTTGGCCAAGCCATAAACACCCATCTGCTGTAGACCCTTCCAGACTCTTCCAGTGTCCTGCTGTCTCTGCAAAAAATCCAAATGGCCCATTTTTCTCCCTGCGCAAAGACGCAAGAGCGAAATTTCGAAGTCGTTTATATGTCTCCCAAGCCAGTGGTGTTTTACTTCTTTTGTAATTTACTTTCGCTCTATCACGCTCTTTCATAATGATCCTTAAAGTAGGAGTCAACCACGGTGCTGGTGGCTTACTCACCCGAGCTGTTTTAAAAGGTACATGCATGTCGAATAAAGAAGACAGATGTTGAGTCCAAAACCGTGTCTTGTCCTCGATTTCAGGCAGATAATAAATTTCATTCCAAGGAATAGCGCATAGATCATTGTAAAATTCGTTTTCGTTAAAAATTTTAAAGTTCCGATATATTACCAACCTTTGATTAGTTTTTGCTGAAGGCAAATTAAAATCACAATATGTTAATCTATGATCACTAATAGTTTCCGCTTCGATTGTACCTGCGTCTAGGACAATATCTGAATTATTACAAAAAATAGGATCAAGCAACGTTGATATATTTCTAGCAATGCGAGTCAATTCATTTATAACTTGAACAAACCCCAAGGAATCAAACAACTGTGAGACGGGGTTGAAAACATTAAGAAAATTACAATGGGCTCTTTCACTAATTTTTGAAATTGGCATATTTGGATAAAGCAACTAAAAACAGAATTTTCTGTATTTTTACTTTTGAAAAATTCAAAGTCCTTCTTGAGAAAACAGAAAACAAAGAAATACCTCCAAATAAAAACCCAGAATTTATTTCTATGACGTCGCAGCTCGCAATTTGACCGTGTTGCCACTAATTGTCAACATTGAAAATTTGTAATAGATTTAATTCTGAACTGTTGGCAAAATCTCATGAAAAGTAGTTAAATTAATTAGTTATAGATTCAAGATTTTATAACATTTTTTTTTAAATTATGCTTAAATACAATTTAATGCAATTTTTTATGTTTAGTTTTATTTATTTATTTTACGCTGCGCTACATTTAGTCACAACCGACAACAGCGCATTCGAACCTTTACGTATCTTTACAGAGCGCAAACACAGCCGAGCCCTTCCTCCTTGCAACGACATAAGCGAAATGAAGAATATTTATGTGACGTCGGCAAATCGGCGCGTTTTAAAATAGTTTGAATTTAGGCACTTTTGATTGCCTATGAAAAACTTATTGAACCTTGTAGAACATTTTTTTTTGGTATATATGCCTAAAATAGTCCCTCCTTTGAGATTTTATACTTAAATTACGTATTTAAATTTTAGTGAAAGAGCCCATTCAAATCTCCCAGGACAGTCACACATTCATAGAACGGCAAAATTTCAGGCAACATATTATCTAACGCATTCACACAATTTACAATATTATTACCTGTTCGATATATTACTCCCACTACCATTGTTACTGTACCACTTATTTTAATTTTGATCCACAAATTTTCAAATCCTTCTACTCTAACATCATTATCTAATGAAAGTACTTCACTAAGAAGTTTAGACTTAACATAGATACCCACACCTCCTCCTCTTCCAAAAATACGATCTTAGCGAAAAAACTTGTATCCATTTAACAAAATAGTATCTGAGGACACATTTTGATTCAACCAAGTCTCAGTGACTGCCACAACATCGAAATCGTTTTCCGTGACAATACCTACAAATTCTTGAAAGCCTGTTAGGATTGATGCAAGGTTTAAGTGAGCTATCTAAAAATTTAAAAATTCTGACACACTACACACTACAATTTGCACATTTCACTTCGTTAGCGCTACATTCCTTGTATGAATGTCCACCTCAAGGTCCACCTGCACACTTTGAGCACACCTTTTTAAGATTGCAGTCTTTTGCATAGTGATTAAAGCCTAAACAATTGAAAAATTGCAAAACACTTACGTGATTAAAGACTCGGCATCTTGACCAGCCCACTTTCACCACCCGGTAACTGTGTATTTTTGGATCTCTAAAATTACGTTGATATTTTTGAATCTATTTTCAGACTTTGTAAGCACTTTCATGTGAAAGTTTCCCGAAGTACTTAAATTATTCCATCTTATAATTAAGCCAATTATTTCCTCCTCAGAATCATCAACATTAAGGTCTTCTCTATTTATGTTTACAATTTTCAGTTTAGGTTTCTTCAATGCTGGTATTTCAACAGTATATTTTCGCCCAAGTTGTCCTTCTAACTCTTTCCTCAAATTTTCCATTTGACCCTTGTCTGAGCACCCTATTACAACACCACCATTTGTAACTTGTCTGAATTTTGAAACTTCAAATCCTTCTGGGTTTATTTTTTGCCTAATATCTTTTTTGGTTTCGGAACTGTCTTGTTTGGCCTTTGGTTTTATCAGTAATACTGACTCTGCTGTTCCCTTCTTCAATACTTCTGAATATGAACTTTCGAAGCGAGTGCCTGCGTTATGCATGGTGGACAACTTATTTTCGAGGCTCGCTATTTTGGCCCGTAAATCATTTTTGCTTTCTTCCAACAACTGTATTATTTGATTTTTGGCTTCAATTGTCTTTTTTTTTCTCTTCTATAGGCTCCTGGTAAAGCAGAAAGGAATCTCCGCCATCACATTTTGAGCAGTAAAATTTCAAGTACCTTTTACCTCTCAATTGCAGGACCTTAATTTCTGATGCAGACATCATTAAAATAACTTCATTTTTACATGACGCGAATTTTGCAGCCATCACAAGTAAATACACTTTGGAAATTGCCACAAGGAAATGCGGCAACGTCGCCCCAGATCTACGTGCGCCAGGGGATGATTATTTTAAATAACGTAAACAATAATAATTTGAGGAACACTTATAAACGTTTATATGCGGTTTTCATATAGGATTTTCGCAAATTTCTGTACTTCTTCTAACAAATGTCACTGCACAGTTTTCACAAATTAACTTTTTAAACTTTCGCAAAAATTTTAGAATAAACGCCTTCGAACCTACTAATGACGTCAAAAGCTATATTTTACATAAAATCGCAAAACTCAAGATAAAATCGTAGTGGGCTGCGATATTCAAAAAATCTCAAAAACGTCCCGAGGTACTAAGGTACTCTTCTAAACTGAATACCGAAAATCTACTTAACCCTCCCTCCAGCAGAATGGGGTGAACCCAAACTTTTGCAAAAAAATCGTCAACTTATGTTTCACCCTGTATCTTTTAGCAGGTAGCCAGAAATCTGTTAACAACTGGAAATTAAATAGCAATTAGAGCATCCTTTCACTCCTGAAAATTTGAACAAAATCGACCTGCTAGATTTTGAGTTGTAGTCTTTCAAAAAGTCAACAAAAATTGGGGTGTTTGAGTTCGATTGATGCGTAGTTTATTTGAAATTTAAGTTGGTCAAGTAATTGAAGTGAGCAAAAACTTATTTGCTAGATTAGTTTAAGTTTAAAATCTCACCTTAATCACGCCTTCATTATCAGTCCTAAAATTAAAATCTCCAAAAAGAAAATATGGTATGTTGTCCAATGGGTCATTGTGAAACTTGTACAGGGTGTGTTCCAGTGCCTTTTGTCGGTTGCGACTGTAAACTGACGGATATGAAGACATGGATACTAGGTTTGAAGCGTCGTGGAACAGATGGATATTGACTAAATCAAATATGGTGCCGCAAAGTGACCATCTTGTGCGCATAAAACCTTTTCTTGACCATTTACACTAGACAAAAAAAAATTTACATCCCAAATTACATAATTTTTGTTCCTATAGTTACCTCTGGAAAAAAATGCTGGGGAAATTTGGATTTTTCTTTGGTATCGACTGATTCGATATTTCCCGAGAACGTTTTATTATCAGCAACTTGGGCAAAGTCGGATTTTTTAAAGTCCCAGATTTTAGCATCATGTATGGAGTTGTGAATAAAATAAAGATTTCCTAAAGCCTAAAATCGAAAAGATTGAGGAATATTTTTTGCTCAACTGAGTAGTATTGTTATATTACTGTAAAATGTTCAACAGAAGTATAGTCCTCGTCAAGAAATATTCTAATTTTGTTGAAATTTTGCAATTCTGGGCTAGAAGAGAGGAGAAGAAGGAAACGTTCTACGTGCTTCATGGATTTTTCATACTTCTTACCACCAACTTCCTGGCAATGTAAAGCAATAAACTTGGCATCTAAACTGGCAATTTTAGATAGAAATTCTTCAGTCCATAGTTTAAGCATTTCTGTTGGCTGCAATAAAATATTGATTTAATGTCTGCAGTTCCACAAATAGATTTTAATTCTCAGTATCTAAAAATACACAAAATCCTTCAAGAGAAGATTTTCAAGCGCAGTTTGCTGCTGGAATTTGAAATCCGCTTTGAATATTTTATACAACACAAGAATGCATTAACAGACTTGGTTGGGGGTGACTTTTCACATGAATAATCACTTTGATAAATAAATCACTGTCCCTGAAAACTTATATCCGATATCCTCCAACTCGTTGCAAATAGGCCCCTTGCATCAAATTTTTTTATTGCTGATTTCGATAGTCCATGAAAAATAAGTCAATACGTGTTTTTTCTTCTTCTTGTTAGTCAAAAATTGATGGAGATACAACGCTTTGAAATGTCCTTCTGACGTCATAGCTTATAATACGTTGTGACGTCGCACATGCTCAGTATATCTATATATACAAAACTCAATTTTTGTATAACTTCCGGAATAATCATATTTGGGCGAAATAAAAAAAAAGTAACGATTTTTTTTCGATTTCCTACAGTTTGCAATAAACAATAATCAATTTAATTTTCCATGCAAGTACCCTATTGAGAATCCTTTGGTAAATCGAAAAAAATATTGAAGATCAAGGATTACATTTTCTCTGTCGAATTTTCAGCCAATGGATAGTTTATTTAGTAGAACAAAAAACATGAACTGTAAAACTCTGCGAAATATCTCAGCTGTCAGGTCAGCCGTACCCAGAACTATGGTCTGCAATATGTATGAGGCTTGGATGGAAACTTGTCCCTTGTTATCAATGTTGTTTGTGTATTGTTTTGCGTCTGTTAACATTACTTTTGCATCAGTTGTATGACTTATTGCATATTTCTTGTCATCTTGGGCTGAAAATATTTTTTGAGCAAGTTCTTGAGGTTTTTGATTTCCTGCTTATGATCAGAAATTCGAAGAAAAAAAAAGATTTTTTGCAAAATAGCTGCAAAACTGCCCCTATTGCGATTTTGGATGGGTTGATTATGCATTTTTAGGTATTTATTTATAGGAAGCGGTTCAAAGACTGGTCTTACGTTTTAGCAACAAAGTGCAATATCAGTAAAACATTTTTATATTTCAGTAGAGAATTCAAAACAATTTGCTCGATAGTTTTCTAATTGTATCTTTTTTACAAAAACAAGTACACACATACATGATTAGGAACTTGATTACACTTCAAAATTAATTCAAGTTGATGTCATTTTAAAAATTGAACAAACCAAATTTATGTAGATATAAAATAATAATTATTGATAAACGATACCTAAAAACTTGTACCATAATCGGTACATATTATCCATATACATGGAATAGGAAGTTTAACGAATAATAATTTAGGTATTTCTTGGAAATGTCAGAACCTGATGTGCACTAGAAAATCCTTTTTCTGAAGCTACAAAAACATTTAACAGTTTGCCTCAAACCTGAAAGAGGTGAGGCTCTACAATAAATTTGCTAAGCTGATGAAAGGAAACTCTTTTGTGTCTCTCTGGCTTATTTTGTTTGTCCTGCACCGTAGTTTAAAGTATATACAGTTCTTGGGTACCAATTCTATAAGCCTGCTTTCAAATACCTAGTTAAATAGGTTACCTATCCATCAGGAATATAGTAACTACCTACCTATACTAAAAAATATTGTTTGAAAAAAAATCTGCCTAATTAGTTGAAAGGATCTGCTTAAAAAAAAAACAGGCAGAGCTATGTCTATGAAAAATACCTACTTGTATGGTTATGAATGAAGAAAATACATGTTCCCTTATTTTCAGATCATTGGCAATAAAATAAAAAGTAGCAGTTTTTAGAAATAATCGTTGGAAATGTCTTAATAGTCATAAGATTTATATGGAAAAATGACTATTCTATTTATAGAATGGCCCATTAAATATTAAAAACAAAAACAATAAACCAATAACATGATAAGGCAAATATTGATTAGCAACAGGTAAGCTTTACATGAAAGTTATTAAATGAATTTGGCACTTACCTCTTCAAATATAGAGCCAACATTAGCAGTGACTAGCAGGATAGGTACAGAGCTCATTGTTTCTCACTTAATTTTCTAAAGTAGAATGTATTCAATCAAAATCTTTACCAGCATCGCTGTCGCAGTTCACCTAGAAATATCCACGTTTTATGAGCAAATAAAAACACAATAAAACTACATAAATAGAACTGAGAGAAAATCTATAATCATAATCTGATATTGTTTATTGACTTTTGAAACAGTAGTTTTCTTACTCTGGTTGACATTATTTTTGTTGGCTGGCATCACCAGCTTCTTTTCTTTTAACAAAACCAGCGCCCATTTGATTAATTATGAAAGGAAAATTTTTGGGGCACCTATCGACCCCCCTTTCCCCTAATAGTTGAAGTCATTTCAAATTTCAAATCAACTCCTGCCGAGTGCTGGTTAATAGGACATCCAGCAGGGCAGGAAGTAAAAATAGATATTTTTGGTGCCGATGTTAACGCATGCGGCTGGCCAAGGTTATTGAGCTGACTGCGTTCAATTCAAGAATTAAGGCCTCGCTCACATACCGGACGCGAAGTTATTCAGAAATCTCTTTGGCGGGAAAACGTCAACATCGATTAGGAGATTAGCAACTTTTTTGTAATACCTTATACGGTAAACAAACGTTACACAGAGCATGAGCTGTGGTCCAAAGATAACCGAATATGTTATTAACCGATAATTCAAACCCAATCCTCACAAAAGGCAATTTTTCGCGAGTCAAGCATAATCTTTTGCTGGATTATGTGATGTGTCAATTAGTGGTCAATTTTAGCCACTTTCCAGCTACGCTTTTGAGCACGCAATCGAGCTTCTGCGCACGCAAATGCTTCAAGCGCGTGTTCGTGTTCCAGCCGTACTGCTCTTCGAGAGCTGCTAACTTTTGCGTTTCAAACACAGAACACTGTGCTGCTCCGTGCTTGAAGCGCACAGCTGGAAAGCGGCTTATAGCTGCTTACGATCAAGCACTTTTCTTACCTAACTTAAAGAATCTAACTTAGTTGCGCGTACGATCTATCACAACTAAGTTAGAATCTGCCTTCCCCCCTTTCCCCTGCTAAGACACCCGGATTTTTAACTGAGATAACTTAGCTGACCTAAGTTGGCGCGAAGTACGCATTTTTTGAATTTTGACGTTTAATAATTTCTAAATTGAGGTTGTTTCCTCATTTTTATTTTGTTGAAACTTGGTCGTTGGAACAGGAACTTTGAAAAGGTGTTTAGTTTAATGAAATTTATTATTCATTATTGCCATTGCACGCGTCATGACACTTCGAGGTAGATAATTGTTCATTTTTAATGTGAAATAAACTGTGCTGTAGTCAGTGCCGGCCCGAGGTTACTTTTAGGATGGAGCGAGATCTGACTTTGGCGCCCCTAATCAAGTAAATGTGAATCGTATACTCTATCCAGCGATCAGAGCTGTTCTAAAGTTAAAATGTCAAGTAAATTGACTTGAATTTCCCAAATTCAGGTACAAGTACCAAATTCCACGAAAGTCAGAGTCAAGTTAGTATTTACTTAAACTTGCGTAGGTACTTGAAATGACATTCACGTATGGTTTTTTTTTTTCAAGATAGATTTTGGCATTAGCTTTGTTTTGGTTTCACTCAAAACTAGTTCGGAATGATCCTGCACATGCGCATATTACAAAACGCGTTTTGGTTTTTTCAGAATCGTAATCGAACTGTGTTGACAGTGTTTTCGTTTATCTAGAACTTTTTGAGAACAATTCTGGGATTGTTCTAGAACGGTTCTCTCAGTTCTTGCTCTGAAGGAGGAACTGTTTTAGAATTTTGTGTTTTGGTTTTTTTGGTTCCGAATTGGTTCAGAACTAGTATTAGAACAGTCCTCTATTATTTTTTGTGCGCAAGCAGTTCTGCGCAATTCCAGAACCGTTCCAAGTTTCGAACCAAAACAAAGCTAACGTCAACTTTGAAACATAAACAATGCCTCTAATGCCGCTTATTGGTCGCTATTGTAAAACTGCAGAAACACCTCATTTTGCGACCAATCAGGGTCAAGCGTTATTGTTTATGTTTCAAAGTTTTCAATGTCAAAATCTATCTGCTTGGGAAAAAATAAAGTGTAGAAATACTTCGAAAAATAATTTAGGTATTTTTTCTTTCAAGTATTATTCGAATTAAAAACAAATTAAATTATTGCTATCGATAATCTTAAACGGGGTGTGACCCAAAAATAAGTTTTAGAAAAAAAAAATCTAAGAACAAATTTTCAAACCGCACTAGGTTACGACCAACCGTTGCGAAGATACTGTGATATAAAATTCCTACTTTTAGCACAGTGACGTCATATGCACAAACTGAGTCCGACAGCCGGCGCTGGCACGCGTTTGCTGATTCTTGCTGCATATGTTAGCTCAGTTCCAACCGACACGCGATGAATAGACGTAATTTTATTTAGTCGTATCTACCTTATTATTTTGAGTAGCGATTCGAGATTTTTACAAGAGTTCTTAGAATTTTCTTCTTTATTTTCTGAATACAAGTTGTATTTTAAGGTTACACCCCCTTTAATAGGAGAGATTCAGTATAGGCGCCACAGGAATTGGTATTGGGAGACGCCAGCTGGACTCTTCCTACCTACTGGCTGGGTTTTGGCTGGGTCTTATCACAGACTTACCACCCTTTTGCTTGCAAGCAGAATAGCAGAATATCGAAAAGCGAAGACAGGATTCAGAGCAGTGGGTCTATCTGATGATTGTAAGAATCACAGCTCCGTTATCTTGGACTTTTTCTCCATAAAATGTTGAAGCTAAAAGCTTCCCTTAGTAAATAAAAAAAAAATTAGTTAATCTAGGTTCCCAGAATTTTTGAAAAAAAATCGGGAATGAGGGACACACTCGATGGGACTTCGGATTAAAAAAATCGTAACTCAACTATCTTTGGTTTTCATCCAATCAAATTTTGGTATGTCAAAGCTAAAAGGCTTTTGGATATATTAAAAAATTCTACATTTCCCAAAGTTTCCCAGATTTCCAGGAAAAAAATCAGAAATCAGGCCATAGGCTGTAATGCACAAAATATCACTCAGTGGGGCTTTTGGAATTAAAAAAATCGCAACTCTGCCATCTTTGTTTTTTTTCGACTCAAATTTTGGTATGTTTAAGCTAAAAGGCTCCTGGATATATGAAAAAAATCTACATTTCCTAAAGTATCCCAGATTTCCAGGGAAAAAATCAAAAATTAGACCATAGGCTGTAATGTAAAAATATCGTTCGGATTAAATAGATTTCAGAAACATATTATTCTCTTTTTTATTTTATTTTTTCACCAAGGAACAAGTCGGAGGCGCCCCTCGAGGTCCGACGCCTGGAGCGCTCGCTCCATTCGCCTTATGGTAGGGCCGGCCCTGGCTGTAGTACAAAAACAATTCAGTTTCAATTTCAATTGAAAATAAATTAATAAAAACAACAAACTGAACCTGAAACTCTCGTCGTAACTAGAACCCGAACTAGAAATACGTGACGTGATTCGTAACTTGATAGGCAGCTGATCAGCCTATATGAATTGCGCGTACGATCAAACAACTTAGCTCAGCTAGGAAACTAACTTTAACTTAGGTAAGAAAAGTGCTTGATCGTAAGCAGCTTATGTCATACTCCCGTAACTTCCCCGCCGTCAAATTATGGGATACTCGAGGATCAAGAGCACTTAATTTCTTCTGTGAGAACAGACCGAAAATCACCTTTCCTACATTTGAAATCGACGAAAAAATAACTCACTAGCACAGCCTGAACCGCGCATTCCATCGAGGTCTGCGGTGACGTCATAACTATAAGCTGCTCATAGTGACGTCAATCGCAGGCCCAGAATTTTGTTGGAGAGGGAGTTGGGGGAGTATGACACAATTGACACATCACATAACCCATACCGTGCGTTCGGTATTTTGATCTGAGTTCTCCAAGCTTGAATTTACCGTTCATTTATTTAAAAAGAGTACTCGGTGCAGGCTCATTCGCGTTCGTTTATAAAATTTCGGCCACTCTGATACAGCGTTCAGCTGCTTTGTTCGCTCGCTGGTCACGTGATTACGGCTCCGCTGAGCACGCTCTGCTCTTTGAGCAAAATACCAAACGCAAGGTCAATCAGATTATGCTTGATTATCCTCGCCACAAATTGCCTTTAATTGTGTCGTGGCGACAGGCTGGTCGCCTCCAAGGATAATAGACACTACTAGTACAGGATAGCCTATCCTTATGGGGCCTGTGTGGAACAAATCTAAAGCCCCCCACCACGCCAAATCACCAGTTATGACGTCGGCAGCATGTCGTTTCTCACCTTGACGTAGGCTTTTTGCACTACAGCTTATGATTCCGCGGGCTTTTGCTTTATGCATACTTGGTCTTAATACATTAATTGACATTCTAAAACAACTCCTTTCTAGATCTCGTTTTCATCTTTCTTTTTGCCTCGATCAAAATTAAATAATAATTTTCCACATAAATACTAAACTATGACGGCTAGTGCAAACAGCTGACGACTTAGTTATGACGTCGGAAATGGTGACACACCAATATGGCGGCGATTACCAAAAACGAGGCCGATAAGCAATCCTTATAGTAGTGTGTATTATCCTTGGGTCGCGTCGACCACGGGACTCAACCCCAAGTTTTCAAATTTCGAACAACAGCTTTTTTTTGGTTTCACTCAGAACTAGTTCGGAATCATTCTGCACATGCGCATTTTATAAAACGCGTTTTCGTTTTTTCAGAATCGTAATCGAACTGTGTTGACAGTGTTTTGGTTTATCCAGAACTATTTAGGAACAATTCTGGGATTGTCCTAGAACGGTTCTTTCAGTACTTGCTCTGCAGGAGGAACTGTTTTAGAATTTTGTGATTTGCGGCGTGTTTTGGTTTTTTTGTTCCGAATCGGTTCAGAACTAGTATTAGAACAGTCCTCTATTATTTTTTGTGCACAAGCAGTTCTGCGCAATCCCAGAACCGTTCCCAAATTTCGAACCAAAACAAAGCTATTACCTACCTATACTCAAGGACGAACACACCAATATGGCGGCGATTACCAAAAACGAGGCCGATAAGCACTCCTTTTTGTAGTCTCCTTGACCTATACGCTGTTTTCGCGCATTTTTATTTTTTCAGCTCGCCTTTGAATCCGACAATTGATAGGGTCGAGCGAAGCAAGGAGAATACAAACTCTAAGGAGTGCTTATTGGCCTCGTTTTTGGTAATCGCCGCCATATTGGTGTGCCACCATTGCCGACGTCATAACTACGTCGTCGGCTGTTTGAACAGCCTACGTCAAGGCGAGATATTGCATGCTGCCTAGGTCACATCTGGTATTTTGGCAGGGTGAAGGGGGAAGAAGGGAATTTGTTACACACAGGCCTTATGAGGATAGGCCATCCTGTAGCAGTAGTAGTACGTGTATCATCCTTGTGAGCATAGTTGTGATAGTTTACGCGCG